CACTTTCCTTGCACCGACTACATGTCGATCTCTTCTTCTCTTCACCCTTAGAGGGTATACGATCATGATTTTTTGGTCGGCCAGGTAGCCTTCTGTCCATGGCTAGTGGCAAAACTGTTTGTAAGTCATCTGGTATGTCCCACTCAAAAGGATGTGGAATAGGGTAGATAATCTCGACATAAGTCTGTCGATATGCTTCTGTAGTGTAGCAATCCATAGTGTATGCGCTTGAATCATCTTGGTTTAGATGAAGAGCAACTTTTATAACATGGCCACACGGATAACCAGATGTTTGTCATTTCATACAACTACACATCTTTGCATTTAGATCGATAAGCCCATTTAGGTTATTATCCAGTACTTCAAACAAAGTGTTTGAACATGGTTCAACTCTCCATGACGTTGACTTCACAACACGTTTCGTTATCTTTTTTTCAGTCCATGGTGTAACACGATGTTCCAAGTTCCTGTAAATTTAAATAAATAATACTTAGTAAAATATATGATAAGTTATGAATTTAAAGAAATAATACCTACATGGTTTCTTTTCTTGTAGTACCACTGTTGAATAGAGGCTCAAAAAAACTCCATTAACATAGTAATGGGTAATTTCCGAGAATGACGACTTAGAGCGTTGATTGATTCTGCACTATTAGACGTCATGAAACCATATCTAGCTCCAAGTTGATGTACTCTTGACCATCTTTCAAACCCAACATCTTCTAGTGTTTGAGCACACTGAGGCAAAACACATCTTAAACAATTTATATGCTTATTAAAATCCACTTTTCGATAAGCTTTTACAGCCTTCCAGTATGTCCAATTGTGATTTTTTATACCAACAGACCTTGATTTTAGATTTCTATACAAATGAACACCACAAAGTCCATGAAAAGCATCTGGGAAACACCTTCTAACAGCGTTGTCAATTGAGTTTGCCCTATCGGATATGATTGTCAGATTGCTAATAGGACATATGCAATCCCTAAGATGCCCCATAAACCATGTCCATGAATCAGAAGTTTCAGATTTGTCAACCCCGTAAGCTATTGGCAGTATCCCATTGTTAGCATCCATGGCTACTGCTAATAAGTTTACTCCAATGTATCGACCTTTTAAATGTGCTCCGTCAACTATAATAATTGGGCTCATGTAAGTAATAAACGAACGAATCTACAAAATCATATACACAAGAAATATAATCATTTAAATGTGAAATGCATGTAACTAACAAAAATGAGTCAACAAAATTATATTGATTTACTAACCGCAGCACCAATGGCGATAAACAACAACTCAAAGCGTCTATCTCTATCTGTTTTGATATGAGTTACCGACCCATGATTTTTCAGCTTTAAATTGTGGCAATAAGTCGGCAGTTGGGCAAACGATGCTTCTGGCGACCCCCTCAACAATTCTAAGGCATAACATTTGGCTCTCCAAGCTTGAGAATATGAGATACTAATCTTGAACCAAGCATTCATGTCAGTCATAATTTCATGTCCCCGATATACCATGCCATTCAAAAACATTAACTCAGCCAGAAAACCACCCAACACCTTTTTGTTTGCATGTCTACGGTGAGGAAAAACTTGGGTTCTTGAACATGTATGTTTATCAATAAAAGTCCTAACTTGAAACATTTCACAATCTTTTATCCTCTTTCCAATCATACGCCACGTACAGTTTTTGTCAATCATACACCTTGTTTCGAAACGATCTTTGCTTGATTTGTTAACTTTTAGTTGATAGCCATCTTCCACACATTTCGTATACAAAGCTATCTTCAAGTCTTCCTTTGTATCAAAACAATCATCTTTCTTGATACGAATAATTTTTGTGTAACAATCAACTGTTATTTTTACCAACTCTTCTTCCGGTATCTGAAGTAATTCTAGCATATTCCAGTTATACTATGGTGGCATTTTCTTCGGGGACTTTTCTTCGGTGATTTCTTCTTCTTCTTTTTCTTCTTCAGGGTTATATGAATTACAGAATGGATGTTCAACATGTTCATTCATAGTCATAACTTCCTCCTCATTATCATCAACAACATCTTCCTCGGCAGCGGCTGTTTCATCATCAAAATTTGGGTATTGACCAATATCAAAATCATTACACGCAGGGTCTGTTTCTTCTTCTAAAACAACATCAAAATCCGAGTATTGACCAAGATCAAAGTCCGGGTATTGACCAAGATCAAATTTTGAATACTGACTAGTACTCACAATTTTTTCTGTTGGCTCATCATCGTCTAACTGGTCAATACAAAAACCGAAATTTGGTGCAGAAAGTTGATTGGGATTTAGATTAGGGAAAGGTTGTGGGTTTTGAGATTGTGTTTGGTATTGGAAATGTGGTGAAACAAAATTTGCTTGGTGATGAAATTGTGGTGGAACCATTAAATTTTGAGCACCATAAACTGGGTTGAAAAACTTAGTTGATTACTACCCGCTACTGACCCAACTTCACTACTTCTAGGTTCAACAACATACAATGTAACATCATCTTGCGAAACACTAATGTAAGCAATGAATCGTTCAACATCTTCATTGTCGGTTAACAAATAAACTTTACCTTTTCTCTGATAAGATATCCTAAATCCACTTAAGGGCTCTAAATTCAATTTATTTGCAACACGTAACATTAGAGTTTCATAAGTTAACTTTTTTAATGACAGTTTTAGTTGAAGATTCATGGGTAAAGGCATATATTGTAAAACACCATGAACATTCTCCCATGACCCTCCAAAACAGATCTATCCAAACATGATCAACATTAGATGATTTCATTATTGTAAATTAATTTACTAAACAAACGAGCTGCGAAACTAAAACCTGTTGCCGGATGGGGAATGATGTCGTTGGATATAGGAACGGTTGTCGCCGGAGAGAGTGATAGATGAAGATGGAATGAGTTGCGATTTAGGGATTTAGGTTATGAGTTACTGCTGCTACGTAGTTATATACCCAAAACATTTGTGTTGCGAAACTAAAACCTGTTGCAAATTTGAAATTCAGCGTTGCGACAGTCAGAATCGCGTTGCGATAGTCAGAATCGCGTTGCGATTTACATATTCGCATTGCGATAGTCAAAATCGCGTTGCGAATCTGGAAGCTGATTTGCGATACTGGAGATCGCATTGCGATTTTGTTGGTCATTTTGGCAAATCGAAAAAAAGTTGGTCAAAATCGTATATTATAAGGAATTTTCGGTCACTGAGATTATTTTCTCATGTAATAATCTTAGAATAAACCGAATCAAAATACTTCAGACATAATAATTTTGTATTTTCAATATCATAGAATTTGGCTCAGTAATTAAAGTATACTCAGATTTCCACCAGTTCCAGCTTTGATCCCTTCAATATTTATTCTTTTGCATCCCCCAATTAGAGGTTATACATATCATAATCTAATCGAAGATTAAATTTATTAAATTCAATTAAAATTCAAACTAAATTGATAGAATGTGAAAGTAATGAGAATCAATTATGTAATTATGCTAATTTTTAATAGTCACGTCAACTCTTTCTTTAAATGTTAACATCAAATAAATTGATTAATATCATTTAAATAATTAATAGATCAAGAAAATTAAAAGATTGATAGATAAAATAAAATCATTTTACAATTAAATAATCAAATATGTAGTTTACCCTATAAATCGTGTTTAAACGATCATCATAATTAGTGAGTCCTATTAAATTAATATAATAAGATACTTTTAATTAGTATGTTGAAATACGTTCGAGTTTATATTTTATAAAATATTATTATAATATTTATATTAATCGAATTAAGATATAATTAATAATCATTTCTTTTATTTATAAGTGAAATGTAATCAATAAATATTTTAATCATTTTATTTAAAACTCAATTAGGTGCTCGGGTACTTAAAGTGTGATTAAAATAATTGATTAACGAGATTAATTAATTATGAGGCGACAAAATAATAGACATAAAAAATAACTATAATTCAACATCACTAAGTCATCATAGAGTAAAATAATTAAAAAAACAGAAAAATATATAAATCACATTAAAATTTTAGTAATGTGTTTCATTTTCATTCTGTATTATTTCTAATTAATTGAATAGAAAAATATTTTTCATATAATTTTTATGTTATTTTGATCATCCTCATTAATAAATTTAAAAATATTAATCGTTTAAATATATTCAATTTTTTATTCTCATAAATAATATAATAATAATTTCAGTTTAATTAAATTTAATAAAAGATAGATAAATATCATTTGAACTCGAAAACCTGTGAAATTAGCTAAGATTTTGAATTGGTAAATAGCCATGCTTTAAATTGCCAAATTACAAGTTAAAACCATATTAATATGGTACTCCTCAATAATCATCTATCGTGCATTATTTGATATCACAATATGACACTCATTTGAATTGCCCGTCCAGCTCAGTTAGTAAAACGCAAGGCTCTTAACTTTGTGGTTGTGGGATCGAGTCCCACGGTAGATAATTCGTAATTTTGATTGTCAGAGGTCTTCCACGGAAGCTGCTCTCAACCTGGCGTTGGGAGCAGCCTATTACCATGCCTCCCCCTCACCCTATTACATATGAGAATATGATCAACTAATTTTTTTAATAGGACACTCATTTTATTATTTTGTTAATTTTCCTTGCTTTAGATCTTTGAATTAGGTTTGGATACACAATATGCGTTCTTAAATAATTTTCTCATAATGCTTGGTTTTGATTTGCTTTTTTCGATGATCTTTTAGTAGTTTAATCTTTTTTGTGGTTCGTTTTTCATAACAGAAAAATTTGTTTGTATACAACTTTTGTTCAATTTTTTAGCATGAATATTTTGCTTTTTCTTCGTATGGTCATTATATAATATTAAGTGACTAATTTCTTGTATTAATGGTTTTGAAAAATATCCTAATTATATGTTTAAATTATACATCTAATTATAAACTTTCATTTTAATTTTAAATATTTTATTTTTTAATAAAATTAGCCGCATTTTCTGTGAAAAAAAGATAAAAATTATGAAAGAGGAGAGTTGAAAACAGAAGACGTCTTTCGCAGAACGAGAGGTGATCAAACTTGGAGGGCGGCGGTGATGGCAGCGGCGGAGATGAAGGTGGTTCATTTGATGCGACGGCAAAGGGTGATTCCATCACCAACAGGAAGCATGCAAATCTCGATCCTGGGGTCAACAGCTAGAGCCTTGTTGAGTGCCAAAATAAAGTCTCTGTTATCCCTAACATACTTCGGGAGAGGAGCATCGGGTGGCGCCACCACCGAGCCGTTCCACAGGGTGTTGTCGTAGCCGATCAAACCACCAACTTTCACCAGCTCAATCAGCCGCTTGTGGTAGTTTATGTAGTTGTCCTTATCAGCATCCACAAAGATGAAGTCAAAGGATGCATGCTTCTTTTCCTGCCATTACAGAATCAGTTAACCCATACAATTTCTCAAGTAAGAAAAAAGAAAAAAAATCATGGGACTGGTAAAGTTTACATCTTTGACTAATTCATCAAGAACCGGCATTGCAGGTCCTTCTTTGAAAACAATTTTGTGTGCAACACCAGCTTTTTGGATAACTGGCAGACCCAGCTCGTAGTTTTCTCTGTTAATATCCATGGCCAAGATCTTCAAACAAACAGAAACTGCGTTAAATCTCTGGTGTTATTTGAAGGAGAAATTCAATGATTAACTAATAAAGTTATCTATGATGGATGGAGGGGAGGCGCAGTCGCCCTAAAATTTTTATATTCATATATTTGATATTTTATTTATATTTTTCATTGAAAATTTATTTTCGTTCCTTAAAAAAAATGTACAAGTTCTTGCCGCCTTTAAAGTTTTATAAATTTATCTTCTAATATAAAATCATTCGTTCGTCTTAGGAATCACCTTTCCATCCTCGGGGAGAGCAAGGGCCGTGGTTAAGAGAGAGTAGCCGGTGTAAACACCGATCTCCATGGTGTTCTTGGCATTGATCAACTTCAGAAGCATGTTCAAGAACTGGCCTTCATCAACTGATATTGCCATGGCTTTCCTGTTTTCAACCATTATTTGAAAGGGAAAAGAATTCAACAAGAATTGTATGGACGGGTGATTTCATTGATGGATCGAGAGAGCGGACGTGGACATATATTTTAATTTTTTTATACATTTTATTGATAATTTATTTTTATTCGTTAGCATAGAATCATATGTGGGGTCTTTACGTGATATAATATGAAAAATCAGAATGAAGAAACAGATTACAATGGATGCTTGGCGGTTCTCTCTCTGATCTCCTTCATGGGTTCAGGCTCTCTAGGATACACACTAGTCTCCAGGATATACTGTCATAAAACCAAAACCCCATTAATGAAAAGAAAAACCTAATGCCAAACTATTATTTAAAAATAAAAAGAACCAACAACATACCTGGTAAAGAGCATCACTCTGCAAAAGGCTCTTCAGGCCAACTTGTCGGTGCCCGTAAACCTGAGATAGCTGCTGCTCTTCTGCTTTGGCTTCCATTGCCACAGTTCTTCAAAGCTTCTTCGGTTGTATACCTTTGATCCGACTAAGCAGATGCAAGGAGCTTATATGGAAGTTGAAAACCCCGGTCCGACTGATAATTTTTGGGTGGGGAGTTGAAGTCACTATATTCCAATGGGACCACTAAGGGACCAAGCTATGCAAGGAGCTTATGTGTGGCGCAAATACAAGTAGATGATATGTCCCCTCAAGATTTTAAATCCTCGTATAATTTAAATAATTTTTTTATTAATAATATGTTTTTTAATTTCTAGGATGAACTTCATCAACTGAGTTGTGATATCACTTTGTTTCTTAAGCCTTGCAATAGTATATTGATAACCAAAGGCAAAGAAGCCTAATTTTAATGGACATATTTGCTTGTTCGTGTGAAAGTAAGAAAAATAATGCCAGAGTTGATATTGGGATCCATCAACTCTGTTGTCGGTTTATGCATTATGTTAGGGATCCATCAACTCTGCTGACGAGGTTTATGCATGGATCTCAAAGTGGCATTCTTTGGTCATCTGCTGGTCTATTTTCCTAAAAGGGAGTTGGTGCGGAAGAATCCGGCATTGAACAGCCATCACAAACGGAAAGTGATCATAAATTTTTTGAACGCAGAAGGCTCTAGTACTGAAAAGCTGTCACAAGCGGAAAGTGGACACAAATTGTTCAAACGCGGCGGCATTCAAAAACCATCACACGCGGAAAGTGTCCCCAAATTTTTTGAATGCGGAAATCTCGGACATTGAAAAGCCATCACAAGCAGAGACGGAGCCATGTGTATGGCTGGGGGCCCACTTCCCCCAATTTTTAGTTTATTTTGATTTTGCCCCCAAATTTTGGTTTATATATATTTTTATTTTGTCCCTCTCATTTTATATTATTAGATATACTTTGCCCCTTAAATTAGAATTCTGGCTCCGTCCTTGATCACAAGCAGAAAGTGGCCACAAATTTTCCGAACGTGGAAGGCTCCGGCATTGAAAAGCCATCACAAGTAGGCCTATAAACGAACCGAACGCACACGAACAGAGATATATTCATGTTCGTTCATTTAATAAATAAACGAACATAAACGAACAATTTTTTTTTGTTCATGTTCGTTTTTTAAGGAATATAACTTGTTCATGTTCGTTCATTTAATAAATAAACGAACATGAACATAAACGAACACGAACATAAATGAACACAAACATAAACGAACATAAACGTTGGAGACCCTACCTTCCATTGTTCTTTCATGAAAAATAGTCGACAATGCAAATCAACCAAATCTACAGTGATAAATAGCGTAAGAGATGATTAGCAGTGATGAAATGTTTGAAGATATCAAATATTTCGATCAAAATCTTTTAAAGATATTAAATGATTCACACGACTTTAATTTAACGCTATAACATTTATCTTAGTGGTCCATGATTACACATGAACAATCATTTTCCACTACGTTATTCTAATAAATTCGCCGGCTAAAAGTTTTGTGACATCAATGTCAGACTTTAGTGAGGTTTGTTAATAATGGTCCTTTCCGTTGGCATAGTAGAAAATTTAACAGCATGAAGATTTCGAATGATAAAAATTGGACTACAAGGCAATAACATAGATCTGAAATCCCTTCGATGCTACATATCGTAACTGATATTATTGCTAAACCACCATTCAAAATTTTAACGTACCTAAAGTCTACTCCACAACTAAAGGTCACACAAGAACTATGAAAACAAAAGTTCATTGTCAAAGTGTATTTTCTACTTATTAATGGGTTCTTCCTGGAAAACCCATTACTTCCGCTATTACACTCTTTTTCAGAAATTGCATAGAAACCTTTGTTTTGTTTTCTGGCAAATTCTATATATTTTTCTCTTTACTGATGCTCATATACTTCCGATTACTACATTTATCATCCCATCTATTTCTATAAAGAAATATGATGTTTTCTTGAGTTTTAGATGTGAAGATACCCGTAATAACTTTACGTATCAACTATTAAGCCAAATAAAATAGAGAAAGAGATGAAAACAAACATGTAAAACTTCAGATTGCACTATAATATAACTTATTTTGAAGCTTTCAGCAATCGTCTCCAGTCTCCAGTGAACACTAGGGTTTGGGAAAAAAGGGGAAAATGAATATAGGTGCGAGGTGCCTCACAAGTTAACATATTGGATTTAATCTCCAAATAAAATTGGGTTAATTATGGAGTTGGTCATCAGAATATCAGATTAATTAATATTTTTAAGATATTTACAAATTGGTCACCAAAATTGATTTAAGAAGATTGGGTTAAACATAAATGAATGAACATAAACGAACATAACCGAACGAAACATAAACGAACATAACCGAACGTTCACGAACGTAAATGAACGAATGAGACCTATGTTCATGTTCGTTCATTTAATTAAACGAACACAAAATTTTGTTCATGGTCGTTCATTTAATAAATAAACACACATAAATGAACTTCCCGCCGCACGGTTCATGAACGGTTCGCTGAACATTCAGTTCATTTACATGCCTAATCACAAGCGGAAAGTGGCCATAAATATTTCGAACGCATAAGACTTTGGCATTGAAAGTCATCACAAGCAAAAGGTGGCCAATAAATTTTCAAAACGCAGAAGGCTCTGGCATTGAAAAGCCACAACAAACGGAAGGTGGCCACAAATTTCCCGAACGCGAAAGGCTTCGACATTGAAAATCCATCACAAACGGAAGTGTAACCCCTAGACCCGACCTATGCGTTACTACCAGATCTAGCGGATTACGATAAAAAAATTTCTAAATATATTCTTTAATAACTTAAAATCTGAATTATAATTAAAATCTTTAAAAATATAATTAATAGCACCAAAGTTTAAATTCAGTAAATTAAAGTTGCAAAAATAAAATATTTCAAAATCAGTATTGAAGCAAATCTAACATTAGTAACAAAAGTAGTATTTTCAAAATATAGGCAAATGTCACCTAAATTAAATGCAGCTTGGAAGATAAAAACATTACAACAAAAAGTCATTGTACGAATGTGTTGATCCTCTAAGTGCCAGGTACGGGTCGCCTATCCAAAAAGTATATGAAAATGAGAAATTTAGGGGAGTGAGCTAGGGAGCTCAGTGTGTTCCAACAGTGCAGAAATAAACATACAATTTAGATTTCAAAACCAGTTCATCAATAAAGTCATGAAACGTCGGTATAGGTTTCAAAATCAGTTATGTACCAAATTGTGAAAGCTTCAGCAGTGTTTTTAGTTTAAAATTTCATAATCACCCTCCAATCGAACACCATATGCAATTCCCCATAATTGTATCCATAAGGACTTACCCTAGGCCCGAAGGGCAAATATGTCAACCTAAGGGAGCACATTGGGTCAATAAGGTCTTACCCTAGCCGAAGCGTTGGTGCCCACCTGAGGATAGTGCCCTCAGGCCCATAAGGACTTACCCAATGCACACAGTAGAGGAGCCACCCTAAGGGAGTACCTTAGGGTCCATAAGATCTTACCACTAGGTCCATTAGGCCTAGGAGCCCACCCAAGAGTCGCCTTAGGTCCATAAGGAATTACCAGCTCGATCGATTTGAACCTATATAAGGAATTACCAATTTTATCGAGCTGAACCTGCAGAGACTTCATACCAGATCCTAGAGTATCCCAGAGAAAAATAGTTTTCAGACAGTAATCAGTGGTAGCAGGAAATCAGTTTCAGACTTATTTATTTATCAGTAAAAATAGTAACCAGAGAACATGAATCAAACAATCAGGCTTAAACTTTAGTAAATCATAAATCAGACTTTAAATCTAATAAATCATATGTAATCAAGTCAAACATATAGTCACATTGCAAAGCAGATAAAACAATCATGTGCACATGATTTTTCAAGCAGATATTTAAAACAAGTATATGGCATACAAGGAACGCACCTCGCAAAAAGTATCAATCTGGGAGATTTATCGAGCACCGGCTTCACTAGGATCTTCGACTGAATGAGAACCTAAGTTATTAAAAACTGTGTTATAATCAGAATAATAATCTAAACTGAATATTTAACGGTGTTACAGAACTATAAGAGTATTCACGGGCTCTCGCGGACGAGTGGATCGGGAGGAATTGGGTCGAGCAGGCGAATGGTCATGAGATCCACGAGTACTTTAAATATACCATAACTTTAATTAGTCCTTGATCATTCAGTAAAATTTGATGTGCTGAAAAATATACTTAATTTACAAATGCACATTCGGGTTTAACGGTCAATTCGGAGGCTTTCAAGCTAGAATTTGGCAAAACGAACTTCGTACTCGGACTCAAGACATCGAAAAACGTAAAATATGACTTTTCAAAAAATTTGACTTTTGGGCCAAAGTCAACGGTCAATGGTTAAAGTCAACGTCAATGGTTAAAGTCAACGGTCATGTCAAAGTCAATGGGTCGGGTCAAGTCAATGGGTCAGACCGGTTCAGGTTGACTCAGATCGGTTTGAGTTGACTCAGTTCGGTCCGAGTTGACTAGGATCAGTTCAAACCAGTTTAGGTCGGTTCTGTCCAATTGCACCGATTTAGGAGAAACCAAAGCTGGGGGCGAGCCCTACGCGCACCCGGCGGCGTGTGGCGGAGCGTGAACTGGTGAAAAGGGGTCTGGTTGGCATCCTATTACTTTCAAGCTAACCAAACAACACCAAACAGTCCAATTCATCATCAAATTAAGCCAAAATAATGCGACAATAACGAATAACATCGGTCGGAGATTTACCTACGACGGACAGATGAAACGACGACGTCAACGTGACCCACTGGCTGGGTTTTGTTTGCACAGAGCTGGGGAGTCTCGTGCTTGGGGCAGTGAGGCGAGTTGACGATCGAGGTGGTCGGAATCGAAGCAAAATCGACGCGGCAGGATGAGGTTTTGACGGAGTTTTCTTGACTTTTCCATGGCGAACAATGGCGACTTTCGATGAATTAACCTAGGGGTTTTGGTCACGGGAGGTCGCTGGTAATGTTGGTGGTGACGGCGCACGCTGAAGACGGTCGAATCGACAGATCAAGGAAGGGCGATGACGACTAAGTAAATTTAGGGAATTGGTTTGATTCCCAAATGGGGTTTTTTAGTTTGGTAATTTAAAACCCGAAAAATAAAACAAACAAAA